GAAAATTGTGCATTATGTGAAATAGAAATATGTGCTATCATAAAAAAAAGTATTGTGCACCTCTTTTAAAAATAATGTGCATTGTTTGAGATCATTCTCATCATTTGGGATTTAATGCACCAAACTCTCCTGTGATACAGAAATTTAGTGCATTAGCCCTATGTGATCTAAACAATGCATCAAACCCCCATGTGTTATAATTATTTATGCGCAAACTCTTTTGTAAATGAATTCATAAGGTTTGTGCAGAAGAGAGAGAATTAAATGGAACCACAAATTAAATTGTTTATTTAAAGGCAAAAGTGACAAAGTTAGTGGGACAAAAAAATGAAAGTTGACAAAGTTTTAAGCGACAGAGGGAGTATCATGCACGTTTGTCCCATTAAGATCAAGACATGTGCAGCTATTAAAATGAGTTTATCTAACTAATGTTGAAATGAAAAAGTAAGGACAATAATCTGAGAATGATTTAGAACTACACATGTATTATAATATTTGGAGCTACACAAAATTAGTGAACAATTGAAAAAGGAAATGTCGGAGGAAATTAATGAGACGGGGGATGTAATAATATCATATTTTGGAAATAAATAAGAAACAATTTATAAAAACCAGAATAAGGGAGAATCTTCAACAATTAATGCCAACAGAATTAGAGAGTAATATTTTTATTTTAAGAGCGGCTAAAAATCCTAAAATTGTTAATTATTTTTTATTTTTGAGAATTTGGATTTTGTAATACAGGTGAGGGCAAAATTTTCCCTAATTTTATACATAACATTATAACAAATATATACACACATATTAATATAAATACATATATAATATTGGAATACATAAGAGTAGAGTTTTGGAAGTCGATTAGTTTTTCTTTAATTTATTGTGTTGTCACATGTCATTTTTTCATACAAATAATGGTGCCACATGTCAATAGTTTTTTCATGGTTATTAATGAATATTAACCCAGGGGCGGGTCTACCTAGTTATTGTGGGTTACTCCCTCCGTCCCGTTAATAATGGGACAACAGAGAGTGACACGCAAACTAATAAAAAATGAGTTATGTGGTTGATAATGAATGAATAAAGTAAGAATAAAATAATAATAATTTGGCGTCACACAAATTTTGCCTAATTTGGTATAAGACAATCTTAGTGGAACGGACCGAAAAGGTAGAATGGAACAATTTTAGCGGGATGGAGGTAGTATTTTTTAAAATCTCTGATGTATATTTTTTCAATTCCCCTCATTTAGCTCATTTGATATCGTTTGTATCCGGTGATGCATCTATGTAAAAGTTATAATGGGCTAAAGAAGTTCAGGACCACTAATTCTGTTTTGGGAAAACTATCAAATAATCTCATCTACTTTTCAGAAAAATTAATCAGATCCTCTAACACAAAAAAACTTGTTCAATCAAACCCTCAAACTTATAAAAACTGACAAATTAGTCCTTTTTAACCGGTAATGAACCGAGTTAACCGGTTGTTTTATACACGTGGAGACCAAAGTGTCTATTTATCACTTTTTCCAATTTTTTATTTTTTCTTTTCTCTATTTTCCATTTTCACTTCTCCTCCGTCCTTTTCCGACTCTGTAGCTTTCTGTGTTGAACAACCAACACTCCAACCCAACTTTACCGACAAGGCGTCGCCCACTGTCCCGTCGCCCAAATTCGAGATTCCAACATCGATGGCAACTAACGATTTTCCAGGGCTCCGTGTTGCATCTGTGAAGGCGCTGCTTGACAGGGGGAGAGCGAGTCACCGGGGAGGGTGCCAGCAAGATAGCGTCGGCAATGACTCGATGAGGAGGGTGATGTTCACCCCCTTTGCTCTATGGTTGGCATGTGGCATTCCATCCCATTTTTTTCCTTAAAATGTTATAACTTTTTTATTTATAGTCTACTTTTTATAAAAATATATCAGATTTTTTAATTTTTTATGATCTTTCCAATGATATCAATTTTGTATATATAAAAATTTGAAAAAAAACATTTATTTCTAAAATATGTATTTTTAGTTGATTTTTTTTAATTTTTTTATGCAATATTAGTACCATATGAAAGATCGTAAAAAAAGAAAAATTTTGATATATCTTTTTGAAAAAAATGGATCAAAAAAGAAAAAATATAAAATATTTGTCAAATTGTGAAGTATTGCCTTGCCACATGGCATGCAAATAGGGGTGGGGTGAACATAACCCTCTCAAATGAGGGTGAACAAAATTGTTCTCTGGTAATCCACGGTGGTGCGTCCATCAGCTGGTTACGCATCCATCTGTTTTGCCGGAATGGAGAGATGGGAAGGAAGCAAAAGACCAAACAAAAAAGAAATGGGAAAACGGTTACAATAGCCGGTAACATGGTTCATTTCAGGTTGATAAGAGTGATTTGCCATTTTTAAATGAGTTTGAGGGTTTGATTGAACAAATTTTCAGTTGAGGAATTTAATTGATTTTTGAAAAATAAAAGGACTTATTCGATCGTTTTCCCTTTTATTAAACTTTTAGTATAGCTTTTTTTGTATTTACTGTAAATCTACTGTAATCAGTGGCGGAACCAGGATCCGTGACCCGCAGAGCACAATAACAAAGAAATCACTGGTCAGTCTCCATCGGCCGTCGCAGAGATGCTCAGAGTTGCCGTCGGCCGTCGTTGAGGTGCTCACAGTCTGTCGGCCTTCGCTGAGTTGCTAGAGTTGATGGCTTGCTGCAGACTGATATGAGTTTGAAACGCCGATTCCACTGAACTGCCGAAGCGATATGGGGGCTAAGGGGAAAGGGGAAGCTTTGCTTGAGTTGAGCTGTCGAGCCTTAATGGATTGGGCTGCTGGGGAAGAGAGAAGTGGGATTGAACCGGACAAACAAGGGAAATGGGGAATTGGGATTGGGCTGCAGGGGCTCAAATTAATAAAAATTAAAATATGTATATCCATTTAAAAGAAAAATAATTCATTGCAGGGGCACGGGCACCTCCGGGCTCTATGGTGGTTCCGCCCTCGACTGTAATCACCTTTTAGCATAGTCTAATCTAAATCCCTCAATCTGCCGTGACCCTTATATAATCAATATTCAGCCTACCCAAATCTAATTCCTAAATCCACCCCTCACTAACCTCAACAAAACAAGTTCTAAAATAAAGTAAGCCCACAAATTAAAGCTATCCAGCAGTACTTGTTTTGTGTGGTTTTTACACTTTGGGTCAATCACTAAAAAGTTTGGGGGAAAATCCAGCAATTCACCCCAAGTGTTAAAACTAACTTTCATGTTGTTATTGATATTGTTAAACAAAACAGAGAAAAGGAGAAATCACTTACAATGGGCATACGCTTGATGAATTTGTGCCACATAAAACATCCGCATACGTGAGCCAACATGATATTCATGTGGGAGAAATGACTGTCAAAGAAACCTTGGATTTCTCTGCTAGATGCCAAGGGGTTGGATGGCGTTATGGTATGTATACGTGTTCATATAAATGTATGTGTTGGGGGTGTTTCACAATTGACCGTTGACTGTTGGCTAATGTATAACAACGGCTTATATTGACTATTTTGATTAGCAAATAATATAAACTTAAATGATGTTAGATTAAACATTTGGTTGCAATCGGCTGAAAACTATTAAAATGACCTTTAACGACATCGATTTATTTTTTCGAATACTTTCTATGTTTACAACTTACACACACATATCATATAAATTATAATTATTACTCCGTATTTTAATTTTCTAATCATAGGATCATATGATCACATAAATCATTTATTGTATTCAATTCACATTTGGCTTATTATTATTAATTTGATCAGAGTAGCGGTACTGTTCGTTGAGTTATGTGAAACTAATTAGTTTAAGAGAGGTGTTGATACTTGGATAGTTTCAGAGGATTCAAATATATATATAGGAAAACGCCTTTATATAAACCCCAAGGATAACGGTGTTTTTAGTTTTCGCCCAAACAAAAAGCCAAATGAAATATGTATTTACCAAACATATTACGGAGTAGTTAGCAAATTCATCTGATCAAGCACTCATTTAATAGTCAAATCAACCAAAAATGGTTGATAGACTCCTAACCTAACACATCCATTATCCACATGCAGGGAATGTGTTACTAGCACTCTCTTCACTAGTACTATTAATATTTGGGATTATATACTAATAAAAGAATGACAAATCAAAACCAACCGACAAATCGATCAAAATCATAACCATAAAAACCAAACTGAGCTATATACAAAACTAATAAAAAATGTGAAGTTGACTTGAATGTACCAAAAGTCCAAAACTAGTCAAACCAACACGAATCGACTGAAGCTGGCATTAGTTTATCTATTATTCAATTCACAGTTTTGGATTATTTTTTTAAATTGAAACGACAGAAAACCAAACCTACTAAACCAAACTGCAAACATGCAAAGTTATTGTTATAATTATTAACCCTTATTATGATTTGATTGTGTATTCAATAGTAATCATGTGAATATCAAATAGATCTGTTGACTGAGCTTGCAAGAAGGGAAAGAGAAGCAGGTATTTTTCCTGAGGCAGAAGTTGATCTTTTTATGAAGGTAGTTGTTTAATGATAAACTTAGAACTTCATAATTTCTAGTGATTATTACAATGCTTGTATATAGAAGCAGTGAACTTCAACCGGATGGACCCCAGCCTTAAACTTAATAAGAGTCAGAGACACTATTCTTTATTTCTAAAAGTAAATTAGTTATGATGGTCAAAAACATGTCATTGGTTTATTCTTTTAGATCTATACAATCAATTTTAAATTTTTTTCTGTTTTACTTAAACAGGCAACTGCCATGCAAGGAGAGAAGACCAGCCTAATTACAGACTACATTATCAGGGTATGGATTTCCAGTTCTTTTTATATATTATATATTTAAAACATGGAATTGAAATATGTGATTGAAATGCAAAATGGTGAAATAGTTTTTCAGTTTGGTAGATATTGTTTTTCTAATTTGAAAAAATGTATATGCAGATATTAGGGCTTGATGCGTGCAGGGATACTATAATAGGTGATGAAATGTCAAGAGGAATATCAGGAGGCGAAAAGAAACGTGTTACTACAGGTTTTCGTTTTGTTACAAATCACTAAATAATCTTAATATGTTTTACTTTGAATTTGGACTTGGCACCCCCGTTTCTAAAACCCTTACTAATTGCACCTCAAAGTCTTAAAAGTGAGGTGCGAAGTCTAAGATAATTTTAGTACTTGGGATAAATGGGGTGTTAAGTCCAATTTCTAAGTAAGCATGGGAAGATGTTAAAAGTCCAATTCTCCATTTGAAATTTGAAAGAAGTTTCTTTACTATGTCAAATTGTCTTAACTTTTTTCATAGGTCATTTTTCTGTGTGTGTAAACACTCTTTTAAAGAATTGTACGTAAATAATCATATTGAAATACAGGTGAGGTGATGGTAGGCCAAAAAACAGCCCTCTTCATGGATGAGATATCGACAGGGTTGGATAGCTCTACAACATTTCAAATAATCAAATGTTTGCAACAAATTGCACATCTAACAGATGCCACCATCCTCATGTCTCTCCTGCAACCAGCTCCTGAGACATTTGAACTCTTTGATGATATTATTGTGTATCAAGGACCAAGAGAGCATGTAGTTGAGTTCTTTGAAAGCTGTGGTTTCAAGTGCCCCTTAAGAAAAGGGTTTGCTGATTTTTTGCAGGAGGTATCATTTTACCTGATGTGTCTGACTTTTACATTTTTGAAACAGAAAAAAACGAGAAATGCATAAATGTATAAAGGAATCATAACAAATAGGAGTAAAACGTGGGTTACGAGCAGCAATTGAACTGTCCTTCTCTGTGCTAAAATAATTAGGACTCATTCTTTGCTAATTAGGAATTAAAGTGGTTAATATTTCTTTTATAAGTGAATGAGTTCTATGTTTAGGGAAAAACGAGTCATATTTGAAAAAGTGTTTTCTATAATAGTCTTATTTATAAAACACTCCCTAAACTATTTAAGTGTTTCCAAATGATCATCATCATCATTATCAAAATCATAAGATTAGTGCTCAAAACAGGTTACATCAAGAAAAGATCAAGAGCAATACTGGTCAGACAGAAGTAAACCATATGAGTACATTTCTGTCACCAAATTTTCCAATAGGTTCAAGCAATTCCATGTCGGCCTACGTCTTGAAAATGATCTGTCTGTCTCTTATGATAAATCCACAAGTCACAAAGCAGCTTTAGTTTTCAAGAAATATTCAGTCCCCAAGATGGAGCTTTTCAAAGCAAACATTGACAAGGAATGGCTATTGATTAAACGAAATTCCTTCGTTTACATTTTCAAGACCATGCAAATATTTATTGTGGCTATCATTGCATCAACATTGTTCTTGAGGACTCGTATGCATACTACGAATGAGCAAGATAGTGCTATCTATGTTGGTGCAATTTTATTTAGCATGACCTGCAATACTTTTAATGGGCTTGTAGAACTTTCACTTACCATGAACCGACTTCCTTTATTTTACAAACACATAGACCTTCTTTTCCACCCCCCTTGGGCTTTCACTTTGTCCAGTTTTCTACTAAGGGTTCCAATATCTCTATTTGAAGCAATTGTTTGGATGGTTACAAGCTATTACACAATTGGATTTGCCCCTGAACCAAGTAGGTAAAGTTAGCAACCTGTTTCTGGTCATTATTTATTATATCACCTTTGAGTACAATGATAGATGTCTTATTACATGAAAGAATAAGTGTTGAAGAGTTAGTCCAACGTTGCCGAAATACGAAATAATAAACTAACATATAAAAATGCACGGGCAAGAGATGGTGTTGACTGTGAGAACATGAGCTCTTAGTCCCTTGCGAAAATAATTGCTTTGAATGGAACTCCAAGTTATAAATGACTTGTAGCTAACTGTGTGCACATACATATGTGTGTGAGTGATTTCTCAGGTTCTTCAAACAACTACTGCTAATATTTGCTATCCAGCAAATGGCAGCAGGAATGTTCAAGCTAATAGCAGGAATATGCAGAACCATGGTTGTCGCAGATGTTGGCGGCTCCCTGGTTCTTCTTATGGTGATCCTTTTAGGCGGTTTCATACTTCCGAAAGGTAGGTAGTGGATATTGGATTCCAAAAGGTAAGTAGTGGATAAGAATCAAGTATCTCTTTTTCTCTAGATGATAATAGAACTTGATGATCTTGAATTGTAAATAAGATTCCTGACTGGTTGACTTGGGGTTACTGGGTTTTCCCCTTGAGCTATGCCTACAATGCATTAATAGTAAACGAGATGTTTGCTCCAAGATGGATGAACAAAGTGAGTGATGAGCCTAAAAAACCTTTGTTAACCTTTTGCCAAAAAAATCTTTACAAATAACTGATAGTGATATCAAAAGGAAACTAAGAAGTATATATGATTCCATGCACAGGCAGCTTCAGACAATACCACAAGGTTAGCTTAGGCATAGCCACTTTAAACAACTTCAGCATTCCCCCCGTTGAGAAGTGGTATTGGATTGGTTTAGGAGCACTTTTTGGCTTCACAATACTCTTCAACATTCTGTTCACAATCGCTCTTATGTATCTTAGTCGTAAGTGTATAGTACTATTTTTTTAATATCTGTGATGAATGATGAATCTATGAAGGGGAGCCTTGTCGCACTGGTAAAGTTGTTGTTGTGTGAATGAGAGGTCACAAGTTCAAGTCTTGGGACCCTTCCCTGGACCCTCTCCTTGCAGGGATGAATTCTTACACTGGGCTCTGATGAAATTTGTGATAAACCTATCTATATTGTCTCATTGTCTGTGCATAAGTATATTTGACTTTCATATTTTTATGTTTCGCAAAAACAGCTCTTGGGAAGCCAAAAGCTACAATAATATCCAAGCAGAAGAGGGGTGATATAGAGGAGATGGAAGCTGCTGATCTAGACGATGTTACCACAACAAATGGTGCACAGAGACATCATAGACCAACAAATAAGTCACCAAAGAAACAGATGGTTCTACCATTCACACCTCTAGTCATGTCCTTTGATAGTGTGAACTACTATGTCGATATGCCACCTGTAAGAAACTGCTTACCCATGATGATGACAAAGTTTGATTTATACTCACCTACAGTGTTGTTGGATGGCAGGAAATGAAGGAAAGGGTAAGAGAGGATAAACTGCAATTGCTTGTTGAAGTGACAGGTGCATTCAGGCCGGGAGTTTTGACAGCGTTGATGGGAGTGAGTGGAGCTGGAAAAACCACGCTTATGGATGTTCTAGCAGGAAGAAAAACAGGCGGCTATGTTGAAGGGGACATCCGAATATCTGGATTTCCTAAGAATCAAAAAACTTTTGCAAGAGTTTCGGGGTACTGCGAACAAAACGATATTCACTCTCCTCAAGTAACTGTCCATGAATCATTGATTTTCTCTGCATTCCTTCGTCTCTCGGAAGAAGTAACCAGAGAACAAAAAATGGTAAGCATGCCTCATGAATACATAAATACATAAACCAAAGACTTGTTTTGAGATAGACTTTATATATACTATTACGTACAATATAATTTTCTTTGCTTGGTGATGGGTTTTGGGTTTTCTTCGATCATGGCGATTCTATAGATTTTTTTCGGGACCATGTAAATGGCAGGGTCTGGTTCAGGTCTTTTTCCTGGGGCTGCTAGATTAAGATTGATAAGAACCTCACCAACAAATATTTAAAGGATGAACCAGTTCAGTTCTTGGGTTTTGTGACGTGCACTTTGTCGTAGTGTGCACTCAAAATAATAATACAATACAACACTTATACGTAGTATAGCGTAGTAAGGTTCGTATCCACTGGGAAAGGAATACTTCTCTCTTTATAAACTAGTAACAAGGGGGGGTTTTAGATTGAGTAAATGAACTTAAATTATATTTAAACACGAAGATGAACGAGTTATGTGGTTTAATTAATAAGAAGAAGACTTGGCTTTGCTTTTATCCACTTAATGAAATTTTCGTCGATCCCGGTTATATCTTTAACTATCTTCCTCTCGAATACTCAATCGAGGAGTATATCCAGTTCATCGAGGGTAGTTATTAATAACCAGAAGCGTTCATTAATAAAACTTACTATCGAGTCAATATAGAACAAGCGTCGTATATTAACTTGATAGTAGCAATAAACTTAAGATGAAAACGATTGAGATTGATAACCTCAACACAAGCGGTTTATTGGTTTAATCAATATAATTAATTCCCCTTAGATTATTAACCATGAGATGCATGCATTAATAATCCAAGTTTACTACCATGAAAGGACCGAATTAATAACAAGCGTATTAATCGACCGATTCTAGTATTAATTAATATATGAAGCAAAACTAGTTGATCCTTTAAGTAATGTTCAAAATATTAATATGAAATCTGAATGGGAATTAATTAATACTCAAGAAAGAATATTAAAGAAGATGAATCTTACTATAGTTAATATCAAGATGTTAACTAATTGTCATCTTAGTAACACTCCCCGATATTAACGTAGAGGAAGAAATAACTATTACTATAACTAATGTCAAGATGTTAACTAATTGTCATCTTAGTAACACTCCCCAACATTGATATAGAAATAATATTTAAAAGAAGAATTAATATTCAAGGAAGAAGATTAAAGATAATAACTCACAACTTACGAATTCATTAAGCTTCAAAGTAGCAAAACCAAGATGGAAGAGTTTAGCTCCTCATTTGGGGACTAAACATGCTATAAAAATATAAAAGAAATACTATTCTAAACTGAGCTTAAGAGTATGGAAGAATGGATGATTAAAAGTGAAGGAAAATGGGGCTATTTATAGGTGTTTTTCAACACCTTTGGCCGGGTACCCGACCGGGTAAAGTGCCCACCCGACCGGGTGCATGTCAAAATCAAATATCCTCCACGTTCTGGCGATCTTCGGCACGTTCTGGTGTTCCGGGTCAAGTCGGACCCGATCGGGTGAAATACCTCACCCGACCGGGTGATGTAATTTCCTGAGCAGTTTCGCATTTAAATTTCTCACCCGACCGGGTGCAATACCTCACCCGACCGGGTGATTGTCCTGGGCAGCCAAGAATTATTTTTCTTCACATTCAAAGTCTTCCTTTCCAACACCATAAATCCTAACTCTACTTTACAACTTACAAATGAGAACTAAAATACAATTACAACTAAAATCACACAAATGTTTACAAACTAAATAAAATGGTAAACAATCCACACAAATCAAACATAAAAAGACACATTTATGCACTACTAATTAGTGCATATCAAACACCCCCACACTTGAACCATTACTCGTCTCGAGTAAACCAAAAAATATCTCCAAAAATATAAGAGTAAAGAGGGGGTCTTCAACTCCATATTTCTTATCAACCTCATTTTTTTTATTTCCCTTAGGATCCTGCAGAAATAAAAGAAAATACTTTCTCTCATTCTCTCATTTTGCCTAGGTGCCCTGTCGGGTTTTCATCCCAGCTTCCCACATTTTTTCTTTTTTTAATCCTCACAACTCACTCTTATTTTTGCTTTATTTTTGCTTAAGTTGCCTTTTCAGGTTTTCAACTTAACAAGCTTTATTCTCTTTTTTTTTTCTTTTTCTTTTTTTTTTCTTTTTGAAAATAACTCAAGAATATAGAGTATGAATGTGAGTTTTCCCTGAAATTCTCCCCCAAGCTAATCAAAGCACTGTCCCTAGTGCTTGTGTCCGAGATGTCCAAGAGAATGAATCTCTTTGCCCTTTTTGGTGTCATTTCTTTCTTTTTGGTTGAGGAAATTTCGGCTTTTGTTGTTTATGGAGTAAGGTGATTTGATTTCTGGTGGGTTGTGGGTGTTTTGGTGGGTATGAAAATGTAGAGGATGAAGAGGAGATGAGGAAGGTGAGTTTATTTGATGGATTTTTGTGTAGAAATGGAGAAGATTCAAATGTATGGAGTTTGAAAATGGTATTTTGGCGGAATTTGGTTCGTGTTTGCGGAAGAGGAAGTGAGGAAGAGGATGGCCAGCTCAGTCTGTGAAAGAATTCGAGACGACCCGGCCGGGTGGGGTAAGTTGACCCGGTCGGGCCTAACTCCCGCTTATCTAGAATGTTATTAATGAACATGCCCGGCCGGGTGTATTGAAGTTACCCGGTCGGGTATGCTCATTTTTCCTCTATTCCACAACTGCCTCGCCCGGGTGATTCGGCCCGGTGCTGTGTTTTATGAAGGGGCCCGACCGGGTTGGGTTTTATACCCGGCCGGGTTCAATCCCCAGGCCTTTTGTTTTTATGGTTTTTTTTGAAGTGTAAACTTAAACTAGAATAAAAGGTAAACGTACCTTACATGGGTTGCCTCCCAAGAAGCGCCTTATTTAACGTCGCGGCACGACGCCATCATTGTGTTCAGTCATTTAAACTTGGGTCGTGATAGTTTATCTTCTTCACACTTTCACTCCTAGGACCTTCATAGGAATGATAAATTTCTGGACTCTTCACTTTGGAAATCTTTCCAGGATCAAATATCCAGATTTTTATTGATTCATGTGGTGGGAGGAAGGGGAAGAAATTATCGTTTAGCATGGTTAATGAGAAGTTTTTCGATCCCTCAATTTTGAAGGAGATTTCAGAAATGTCATTGTCATTTTCAAGTTTATGAGTGATGGAGTATATGGACTCCGACCCCCCGGTCTGCCGACTATTGGGCCTGGACAGCGGCCCACACACGTTTTAAGGGTTCTTATTATTGTATATTATTATTCAGATGTTCTAGATTAGCTTTTTATACTATCAGTCCATTTATGTAACCGGGTCTGTCAGGCCCATATTAGAGGCCCAGACCCGAATTTTTCCTATATATACTCCTTATAGGAGGCTTGTAACTCAGATAACAAATATTCATTCTATACACATTTCCTTCTTCTTCATCATTTCTTCTCTATTCTTGTTCAATCTCTCCTGCTTATACAATATGGGTATCAATTATCCAACAATGAGTTTCTCTTAAAGAGTCTAGGGATGATGGAGATACCTCAAAGGATGATAAGGTCAGATATTGGACCTTGAAACTCGGTTCATTCTCTTCTTTGACCAGCTGGAACTCCGTGTTTCTTTCTTCTTGTATTTCTTCTGGATTTGGGATCTCCTTTTGCATTTCCTTCTCAATTGTCACTGTGATTGCAAAAGTTTGCTGTTTAGGATCACATTCTATTTGAGAGGAAAGTTCTCCTGAATCCCTTGCTTCAAGCCCACTCACGGCTCCGGCTATTTGACTCACTTGAGTTTCCAAGTTTAAAATTCTAGACTTGGTCTCATTTTGGAATTGCACCATATTGTTTTGCATGATGGTCATGTTGGTAGTAAGAGTCCGAAGCATGTCCTCCGTAGACATGTTGGAGAATGGATCATACATCATGTGAGGTACTTTCCTTTGGAAGCCAACATAATCAAAATTTTCAAGGTATTCTTGTTGGAGCTTTGGGCAAAAATCCGTAAGATGTCCGTGAGACATGCAAATGTTGCATGTTTTGGCATCTTGAGCTTCTGAGCTTAAGATATATTCCTTTATTAGAGAAGTCAAGAAGGAAATTTGACTCTCTAAGGATGATGTGTTGGTATCCATATACTCATAACTCATGTAAGCTCAGAAAATAGAAGAGTAAGATTTTTTTTGTTTTGTTTTTTTTTATTTATTTAATTTTTATTTTTATTTTTCTTGAAATAAAATAAAAAGAAAAATAATTGCCTTTCCCCGGCAACGGCACCAAATTTGACGTGCACTTTGTCGTAGTGTGCACTCAAAATAATAATACTGATGGGATCATAGGACTAGGCCCAACGCCTAATCAGACTTTGCCCCAAACTTGGATAAGCAGGCCCAAGCCCAGGACTGTCGTCTCGCCAGGCAAGCCCAGCTAGTGGACCCAGCGATCCAGATATCAAGTCGACCCAACCAACCGGGCCCATTAGGGAGTGGAGGTCCAGCGGAGTGGAAGCCCAAGACGGCCTGCCTGCCGGCCAACTGGAGGCCTGCCTTGCGGCCTAGCTAGGAGCCTGCCTTCCAGCCCGACGGAAGCCTGCCGCCCGAGAAGCTCAAGCGTCCGGACCGCCAGCCAGCCAGCCAAGAAGCGTAACGGCCAGCAATCAATGCACCATTAATGATGTATTTAATTTTGTATTAATATTGTAATTAATTTAGTCATTATTATTCGGCAGTTACCATTTGTAAGCGCCTATAAAAGGCAAGTTATATTTCGAATACAGGGAGGCTATTTCTGGCTCTGAAACTCCCTGGCTACTTTCCATTTTCGTAGTACTTTCTATTTTCCTGCTTGAGCGTCTATCGTAGCTTTCCTAAAGCCTACGAGCGTCCTATTTTGGACCAACATTGGTGCTTTTATTGAGAGCCTCTATTGTCTCTCACAATCACTTGAGCAGGAATCGCACAGAAAGATGGCCGGAATCTCGTCCCGACGTGACCATGTCTCAGTCCACACCGAGGAATCCACCGGGTCAGGCCGCCAGCGTGCCCTCGACAACCATGGACAGGGCAGGGGGCGGCGCCCCATGGCGACCTTCGGAACCGATTGTCAGGCCACGGCGACCTGAGGGCGACGCTCAACCACACCCAAGGTGAGCGCTCGGCCCGCAGCCGGCGGGGGGGAGGCCGACGTCATGCTCCGCGCATGGACCCGGTTCGACTCAATGCCGGGGTGGAAGCCCTACAGGAGGCGACTCGGGTTCTGGGGGCCTTGACTCAAGGTTTCCAACAGATGGTGTCTGGCGGAAACGTGGATGAGCCTGCCCGTCAACAGACGCCGGCAGATGTGGAGGTGTCCTCCAGGCGGCGTGACGAGCGACGTTCTGGATCCGACCAAAACAGGAGGGAGGAAGTCTCCCAGCAGCTTAGCCAACCCCATCAGCAGGCGGGGAGGGGCGCCCAGCAGGGGCGCTCAATGCAGATGGAAGGAGGCGAGTCCTCTCGCCACTCTCACCGAGCGAGCAGCCGGACTAGCTCCATGGAAAGGCAAAACGTGGGGACCCGACCTCATGCACACAGGCGACTTGGAGGTGCTGCTGGACATGCCCAGCCCCGTGCTAGGGCTGTCCGAGGGAACCCACCGCCGGCCGAGGTGGAAGATCTACGACAACGCCTTGACGAGTTGAGGAGAAGGGTCATCGGGGGGGAGCCCTACACGGCCGACCTCCGGATACCCGAACCTTTCACCCGGGCGGTCATGGATGCGCCGTTGCCAAGGGGCTACAAGCCTTGCACCATCGAAACATACAAGGGCATTTCTGACCCCCAACATCATGTGTCGCGATACCTTTCCTACATGGTGATGATGGGGTACGAGGACGCCATCCGGTGTCGCGGTTTCTCTGCCACCTTGGATGGCCCGGCTCGTGAATGGTATGATTCTCTGCCCGACGGGAGTATTATGAACTTTCGTGAGCTGGCTCAACGCTTTCTCTTGAGGTTCGCTAGCTCTCGAGACGTCAAAAAGAACTTCAGCCACCTGTTCGGCCTAAAACAGGGGAAGAAGGAATCATTGTCCGCCTTCTTAGCGAGGTGGAGGGCCGTGTCAGTCAAGGTTCAGGGCCTTGATGACAGGACTGGGGTGGCAATGTTCACAAACTCTATCCGGTCTAGCGAGCTTTACAAAGATTTCGTTAGAAGTCCCCCTGCCTCGTACGAGGAGGCGCTCGGCCGCGCTGATCGCCAGGCCGAGGCGGAAGACGCCGTGCAGAGGAGAAGAGATGAGGAAGAAGGCGCAAAGGAGGAGAAGAAGAAGGAAGCTGGTTCTGGTGCCGAGAAAGCTGACGGCAAGGCTGGCAACAAAAACAAGTACAAAGGTAACAAGAGCAAAGGCAAGGGCAGGGCGGACGTCCCGAGCGGACCGCTCCTGCCCGCCAAACAATTGACTCCACTTGCTCAACCGATCGGGGCCGTCTTCGACTACGTGGAGGAGCAAGGCTTAGTTGACTTTCCGGAGGAGTGTGATGTGGTGACAGCCAAGCGCAACCTCGACCAATATTGTCGATTCCACCGGAGAGCAGGGCATGATACAGATGATTGCGTCATTCTCCGACGGCAAATTGAAGAACTCATCCAAAAAGGGTACCTGGGCCAATTTGTTGGCAAACCAGGAAACATTCCGCAGAAGAGGAGCCTGACGTGGCAGCGGTCCGACCAAGCTACCACATCAAAGGAGAAGCAACCCGCCAAGAAGCGGGAGCTTGGCGCCCTTTCCGAGGATGATGAGGCCGACCTAGGGGATGGCTCCCGTAAACACCATCGATGTTCATACATCTTCGGGGGACCCCAAGGAGGGGATACCTCGGGAGAGCGGAAACAATGGGCCCAAGCCTTGTACGTTGGGGAAATAACCAGAGCTCCTGCCGATAAGAGGGTGAAGAGGGATCCCATCCTCTTCACCGATGCAGATTTGCCGTCGATGCCGCCACCGCACAGGGATGCCTTGATGATCAAGATCGAGATCAACAACACCATCGTCCACCGAGTCCTGGTAGATAATGGGAGCTCCGTTAACATCATGTACTATGATACCTTCCAGGGGCTCGGCCTGGACAGGAAGGACTTGATCCCGGTGAGGACCCCGCTCTCAGGCTTCACCGGGGACTCCATTGAGTCGGAAGGTAGCATAGTCCTCCCTGTGGTGGTGGGCTCCGAGCCCTGCGTGTCTAAGTTAAACATCGAATTCATAGTCGTACGCCTAACTTGTCCGCATAAGATCATCATGGGGAGGCCGGCCATGGAGGACATGAGGTGTGTGATATCCCAGGAGCACCTGTGCAAGAAGTTCCCCACTCCGAATGGTGTCGGAGTTGCTAGGGGAGACCAGCGGATGGCTAGGAGCTGCTACCTAAAAGCTTGCAAACAAATCGGCCAGAAGGACTTGAGAGTCCATACTATCAACAACAAGGCCATGAAGTATGAGGAGGGCCAGCTCCGTGCTGAACCCACCTCGGAAGTGGAGGAAATTCAGGTTGACTCTGAGAAGCCAGAACGGAAGGTCAAGATTGGAACCGGCCTCCCGGCCGGCTTGAGGGAAAAAATCATCCGAGTCTTGATCCTCTTCAGCGTTGTCTTTGCGTGGGGGCCGGAGGACATGCCCGGCCTCGACCGAAGCATCGCTGTCCACCGGTTGGCGGTCGACCCATCGGTGAAACCCGTGCAGCAGAAGAGAAGACATCTCTCCATCGAGAGGAAGGAATTCGTGAAGAAGGAGGTCAGCATGCTCCTGAGTATCGGACACATTCGGGAAGTCCTATACCCGGTGTGGCTGGCGAACGTGGTCCTGGCCCCGAAGCCACCGACCTGGAGGATGTGCGTCGACTACACCGACCTCAACAAGGCGTGTCCAATGGATCCATTCCCGTTACCTAACATCGACCAACTAGTTGATGGGACGGCCGGGTGTGAGCTCCTTAGCTTCATGGACGCCTTTCGAGGATACCACCAGATTTTTATGCATGAGGATGACGCGGAGAAGACCTCGTTCGTTACCCCGGAGGGAATTTTTTGCTATCTTGTCATGGCCTTCGGGCTAAAGAATTCCGGGGCAACGTACACGAGGAT